TCTCTCTCTCTTTTTTTTTTTTTTTTTTTAACACAGCATAAGAAGTGTAGACCAGTGGTTCCCAATCTGTGGTACATGTAGTGCCAGCGGTATGCAAACCACCTGTCAGTAGTACACATTAACAGATTATTATAATTACTTTATATGACAAAAAATTGCTGGTGGCACTGAAGGTTATATTGTTTTAAATTGGTGGTGCACAATCTGTCAGATGTAGATGGTAGCTACAGCAAGAGTTGCATTTAAAGTTTCATTGAGATTTACACTACAGCCTCATACCTAACTGAAAATTTTTTATGGTACAGCTTTCCACATTTAGTCCAAGGAATTAACTTTATAGAACACTTAACTACTCTTGACTGCATTGATTCAGGAATGAAAAAGACTTTGCACGTACCTGGAATATGCACTTACCTAAACTTAATGTAAGCAGACAATGTGTGCTCAGTTAATATACACCCATTTAATAATTATTTAACAGCCTGTTAGAAAAATGGATGCAGAAAATTAAATATATGAGAATGTTGTGCTCCACTGTGGTCTGACACTTACCACACTCACCTGGTTTGAGATCCAACGCAGCAAGAGATTCTGAATGCAAGAAATACAAGGTTGGACTAACAGTAAACAACACATAGTTGTCATGGCGTTCATCCAAGATTATGAGAACCAAATCGCCAACCTGAAAACTGGATAAAAAGAATAAGTTTATCTGCAAATTTTATACAAATAATGATTACAAAAAACAACCTCATATTTTACAAATGTATTTAACATTGTTCAGCAAGTTTAAATTAAGGTAGTTGCACTGATATAGAGTGGCATGTGCTGTACAACACTATATAATGCCAGTTAATTTAAATTTAATATTGGGTTATGGCATTATACATTACTTATTCTTTTAAAAAATGCATTTTTTGCTTGTTCCAGTCCTCAGAAGTTGCACTTTTTCTGCAAAAGGTAGTATGTATAGTGTAAACTGTGGGTACACACACAAAGAAAAAAAACCAAAAACCAAAAAGGGGTACTCATCTTTCAAAGTTCTACAAGGTACATGTCCTAAGCATAAAAACCAACTATAGGAAAACAAACTGTTCTCGTTATTGTAGCAATATTTTTGACATTACTATTGGTAATATTTTCATAGGTTCTGGGTAGGAATTCATACCAGAATAAAATCTAACACCAGCTCTTAAACTTTGAGTTAGTTTTTTTACTTCAAGTGTAAACAAAAAAGTTACTGATTTAAAATGAGTGTCTATTTGTGAAAAGTAGAAAAACAAAGAAAACTGAAGTAATAACAACATTTTTTCTTGTATTGTTCTAATTGCTTGAGATACTTTGGAACAAAAATTAGATGGTATTGTAGTTCTTAAAATCTGTCAAGCACTGCATATACTGATGTAACGTGTTAAACTGAGATTTAATTCTAACTTTACATTAAAAAACAGGTATTATTTCCTGTGACAACTTCCCTACAGTAACTGCATAAGGTAAAAACAGCCAGAGTATAAGGCGGACCAGATCCTTTAAAGATTATGAGCCCACTGGGCACCGACGGATATGAACTCCCTCCTCCACCCCACAAAAAACCTAGCCATGCTGTATCAGAAGCAGCAGCGTGTTACTTTAACCAAGCTCTGCAGTATCTGTATAGATCAGGTGCTTCAGACAGGCTTTTTGGCACTTTTAACTAAAGATGATTCAATTAGCTATTAGAAAAAAGCACCAAAAAAGGCCCACTAAATGCTCGTGTCTACAGACGTGGGGAAAGCCAGGTGCAACTAAGGCGCTGCCTCTTCTGGGCACGTGTTAGGCTTGGCACGTTAGTGCACTGACTTTAAAGTGCCACTTTTTCCCACATCCGCAAGAAGCCATTGTGCCTAGCTCAACATATATATGCAGTCCTGTTGAACAGTGCTTAAAGTGAACACATGCATTTAGCTGGATCAGGGGGCCTAAAAGTGGCTGTACATTTAACTGACCTTTCTAAAGAGCAGCAGCAAAACACATATATTCGTCCATAAAATAAAGTGCTTGCTAATCTCAAATTTTTCCTTCCTGCCTGCCTGTCCCCTCTCCACCTTCCCCCCCACCCAGTTATACCATGAGACAAAGAACAAACAGTTCTTGGGCAAAGTTTTAGTATTCGTTTCAGAAGGTATTTTTCTTTTCAGAACCACTTTCCCAAGCAACAAATGCATCTTAAAATGTCTTAACCAGCAAGTGAAGATCTCATGCCATGAAAACATGCTAACAGTCATTTCACTGGCAACATATTCTCTCACTCCAAAAGATTATTCAAGAGGGACCAAACTGCATAGTGAAAGCAAGAAGGATTCTGCATACAATATTCTTTTCAGAAGAGGCATACAGAATTTTTAAAATAATTCTTCAGAAAATCAGGTTCTTATTTCCAGAAGCTTAATATTTGGACTTGGCTTAACTCGTATTCATTTTATTTTTTTGAACTGTGATAATTATATATTTAAAAGGAACATGTTAAATATCACATTCCAACAAAGCAGTCAAAAAATTCATACTAGAAAGAATGATTAAATGCACCTCTCTCTTATGATCATAGATGGATTTATTCATTTATCACAGTTAGTAATAACTAGTTAAATTCATCCCCTGCCACTTTCAAAATCACACAGAATAGTTTCTCCTCTTCATTCCCTCAGAAATGTTTTTGTCTGGCACAATCATTGTCTTACAAATGTATTGTTTTTTTCAGTAGTCAAACAAGGGAATTCTGTGCACTGATCTCACTGAAAAGGTCATCTTTTGAATAGAAAAAAACTACAAAACTAAACCCAGAAAAAGTGATAATATATTGTTATGAATTTTTGAAGAAACAAAATTGTACCTTGGTTGCACGACAGGATCTACACTCTTGGCAAATGTACACAGATTTATGGACTTATTTTAATGTAGTACTAGTATATTGGAATAATTCCAATAGGCCACGGTATTGAAATCGTTCATGCTTGGTCCTACCTACCACATAGAAAAAGTACTTATGTGGCACTAACAGCTAAATCCTTCTTACGGATCATCAGACAAGCTTTGAAAATCTAGGTCACTTCTGACTTTTTTTTTAAATGAGCTGGCATACAGGAAACCCTAGCTATTCGCGGATTTGTGGTTTCGAACATTCACGGTGCAAATATTCGAAACCATGCTCTCCCCATAGTGTCTAGCGTTACAGCAGCGGCGGCATCTGCGGGAGCTCTGTGCCTGCTGCTGCCAGGCTTCTGCTGCTACCAGCGCGTGCCATTCATGAATGCAGATATTCATGAACGTATTCGCGGATTTCTCCATTCACGGGGAACATATTTCTAGAACGTATACCCTGTGAATGGTAAGGATCTTCTGTATTTAACTTTCACAGCATCAAGTGACAATGCTCAAACTGTGTTCGGTAAATAGAGGTGTAGTCTATACATATATTTCACTGTTGGTAGCTGCTCATCCAGTATGTTCAAACCAAAGGTTTGTCTAGTCTAGTCAGCACGGTCTACAGGGGCACTATGTTCCCTTCATATCCTCGTTTCCAGCCAAGGGGCAAAATTGCCATGCTTACTTATTGGCTTCTTTCCCACCTCAAAGACCATGGTGCATAGATTATGAAGTACTGGAGATGGGGGAAGGTGAGGAAACATATATGTAGCCTAACATCTTGAAAAACATTAGTTATCAGATGAATAAGTAACTTTTTAATTTTTCAAGTGATAATTTATATACCTCTTCTGCTGTCAGCAACTCCCAAGTTGCTTTTTTCCAATTGGAGGGGATGCTAGGCATCTAAGTAGACAGTGATTCAGCAGAGACCTGTGAAATTTGGCATCACCTCTTGAAACTTGTACAAGTGTATACTGCTTGAAGAATATTTTCTCAACTCTCATTGACTACTCAAATGTCTAAAGCTGGTAGACTTACGAAAGCTGTGGAAAGTGGAGTGTGCTCTTACTGAATGAGCTGATGTTTTCCCAAGTGGCCATTTCCAAACCACACTGATGTAGGTGGACTGATCTAAATAGATATCTAAGTCAAGATTCACTTTAAATCCTCTCAACAGAAACCATACAGAATCTTGAGAACTTTCTGAAATTTCTAGTTTTGTAAAAAATAATACAATGAAGACATACATTACAATGAAGGTAAAAGGAATAGTGTCTGTTCCTTTTTTCCTTCATGAAGAGAAAAGGATTACAGTTATGAATACGTGACATAAAACTGGAAATATTTTAAGAAGAAATCTCTAGTACATTTTCATGAGAGCATTATCCCTTTGAACAAATTCTGCACTCAAAATATGAAGTTCATTCACTTCTGTAAATCATTCCCAAGAGAAAATTCTTTTCACAGACAGGTAAAGGAAGGGTGCCCAGGCCTATAGGCTCAAAGCGAACATCAGTTAGTTTGGAAAGAGCCAAATTTAAAACCATAAAGTGGAATTTTCCTAGTAGGAATACTGTGATCAAATGTACCAGCACAGGAAATAATCTGGTTTGTTTAGGATAAAACAAACAGGAAAAAATGGTCTGTAGTTTGGGAAGTAATGGACTGACATAAGAAGTGCATCCCCTAGAGGCAACAGCTTGAGTCCATGCTGCTGTAACAGCAGCAGCACCAGACTGCAGAGAGCTGGGATAGGTAAGATTCCATTCCCCCTACCCTTCTTTCTCCAGCATAACCTCTCCTGTATGAAGCCCTGCATCATAGGAAGCCCTCTTTGGACAAGTAGAATGAGGGATCATTTTCATGTCTGCAGAATCCACATGTTCATAATTTTATGTCCAAGAAATAATGATGTTCAGGAGAATGGAATAGTATAAAAATTATGTTGAAATACCCAACTAAATTTATCATTATGGAAAAAAACCAGGATGTGAATTAATCCAGATTAGGGTGATGAGTTGACACAGAGGTTTTAAAAATATATTTAATAACCTTAGGGAATCCAACCTAGTTTTATAAATGAAAGCTGAAAACTTGACGATAACTTAATATTAAAAAACCCTACGAATTCCATAAAGATTTATCAATGAGGAAATTCATGCCAGTGTCAGATACCAACTACAGCCTAAAATGATGAAAAAGAATGACTATGAATTATCTCCAGGTACTGTACCTGTATACTTATTATTGAAGATACACGATTTATTTAAGTATATGAAATTTTGAGAACATAAATATACTTACTCTCTGATAGCTATTTTTTCAGAATGTCTTGAAGAAACAGATGACATGCTTTGGGACATCTAGGAAAAATGAAATAAACTACTAAAATATTGACCAAGTATGATGCAACGTATATTGCAAAAGAAGTTGCACGCGAGTTGGGTCATCTATTAAATCACAACAACAAATAGTAAAGACATGTAGCACTCCTATTAGCTTTTTGGCCATTTTGCTTACTCAGGATAATTTCCTTCCTCTAGTACTTTGTTTTTGTCAGTTTAAAATATCACATTTTTGGGAGAGGAAAGGACTCATTTAAGGAGTTATTAGAATATAAAAGGCAAGAAAAACTACAAAATGGCAATTCTTTGCATCATCATAAATTATATCCACAAACATTTACAAGTTAAAAAATATAGGAACAGAAAATTTGACACACAAAGAGCAAAGTACCCATCAGGCATAAGAAAACTCCTGCAGAAGTTTAAGACGCAACTATTTTTATACTAACAACACTAGTAGAGTATGAAGGATGCAGAGAAGAGAAAGGAAAAAGAAAGAGAAGGTCAAAGTTAAAAAAATTAATGTTGAACAAAACTCATATAGAATTTTAAAAATGATCATGATAATTTTGGAATGCATCATGATATTAGTGGGAAGCAACCTAAAGCACTGTACTGGATGCAACATAGATCATGGTCCTCAAGGTACAATGGCATTTTGGGTGCTATGATATCCATTCAAGGGTGCCATGGCACTTAGCCCTTGTGCAAGGAAGTGCTTGCTTCTCTCCTGCCTAGCTCCCATACCAGTCTTGTGGAGAAGGTACTCCCACAGCTGTTCCTGTGGGGGCTCCTGCTTCTCTTGCCGTGCCTCAGTTCCCAAGCAGCTTCTGCACTGGCCACCCTCACACTTCAAGCAGTGTGCACTGATGTGGCAAGCGGGAGACCTAGGGTTGCACTTTTCAGGCTGACTCATAACCCTACTCCTTCCATGCTCCCAGGGCTGGCATGAATACATTTTGAGTTTGTTGCAGAGACAGAGAAAGGAAACCTGAAGCCCCAGAATGAGAACAGAACTGGGACTTCAACTGACCAAAAACTCAGTGGAGTATGAGTCTTTAAAACACTTCCAGGAAGGGTTTTGCACAGGTTTAAGTCTCCTTTCTCAGTAAATACATTTAAGGTATAGGTTTCCCTCATTTTATACTGTTCATGCATTCCTGGAAAATGGTGCATAACTCGAATTTACATAAAGGGAACCCACTCTACAATGCAACAAATAGGGATACGTTCCAAGACCTCAACTGTACTGACCTCCAGACCCATTTCTACCATGTTTACAAGACAATTTTGGTACTCAACAACAGCAGACAGTACACACAAGCACAGGGTGGTAGTGAACGTTACCATAATAGGAATGTTAACTACAGAAACACGGGTTGCAAACGAGCGAGGAGCACAGGAGACTATATTTTGGTGTGCATGACAATGCACAATGCACTGCACAAAGCAGCTGACTGCAGGCTTTCACCACACTGATTCCATAAGAGTGAATTTATCTCGCATATAATGACTTTTTGGTATAAAGAGGATCATCACATAAGAGTGAATTCGCACATAAAGAACCCACATAAAGCGAGGGACACCTGTAGTATACAAAGTTTCTGGGTCCCTCTATGCATTTCTTACATGTCTCTTGAAGGGTTAAACTATCAACATGAATGACAGTGGAACTCTGGGAAACCATGTACTAAAGGTCCAGGGGGAAGGAAGGCGGTGACTTGGAAAAGCATTGGGTTTTGAACTGCTTTTGAGGCACAAGGCATAAATACCCTGCATTGTAGGGTCCCACTTCTGAGAAGGTGAACAAAATAGTACATAGAATCCAGCAGGGATCTCAAAGACACTCTCCGGACACTACTCAGACTGTGGGTTTAGGACCCCATGAGATCCAAAGAAAGAAAAGAGTGACCACGTATGGGACATCACCCAACCACAGAGAAGAAATATACATAAACTATATTTATAAATCGACCTATATCTGTAACAAATACTGACAGACAATTCCCACCAGGGGGGATGCCTTGTTGGACTTGGTGTTGGCC